AGGCAGATATGAGCTCAGCTCAGTGAGATCTAGCAGCACATACCCTTGGTATACCAGAATAGTAGTCTGAAAAAGTCGGTCCGACCTCGCGGAGCTGTCTGGCTGTCTGCAGAGCTAACTGGGGCCCCGGACGTAAGCGGGCGGGCCCGGCAGGGGCACCGGCGGGCCCCGGCCGGGTCAAAAGTGGCCGCTCCCGGGCCGCCGAGCGTGCTTTAGCCGGGCCCGTTTTGCGCGAGGCGGGCCGGGCGAGGAGAAAACCGGCCCGGCTAAAGCACGCTCGGCGGCCCGGGAGCGGCCACTTTTGACCCGGCCGGGGCCCGCCGGTGCCCCTGCCGGGCCCGCCCGCTTACGTCCGGGGCCCCAGTTAGCTCTGCAGACAGCCAGACAGCTCCGCGAGGTCGGACCGACTTTTTCAGACTACTATTCTGGTATACCAAGGGTATGTGCTGCTAGATCTCACTGAGCTGAGCTCATATCTGCCTTTGGTAAGCAGTTTTGAGTTCGGGCATGTCTCCGGTAAGCTGTTTCCGTGTACGGAGGGCCGCGCGTCCGGACGCGCATGACGTCGGCCGGGACCCCCCGTGCGGGGGCCTTCTCTCGGACTCAGGGAAACTCGAGAGTTGCCAGAATGGAGCACCAAACACCCTCTGCGCTCTGGTTTCCCTGGAAATTTCCGGAAACGAAAAGTGCTGGGGACCCTCTCGCACTAAAAGAAAGAAAGAAAACAGACACGCCAAACGAGGGATGGGACGAGGACAGGGTCCCCACCTGCACGAGCAGGATTTTGGAAGGACGATCAGGGGGACAGGTGGGGCTCTCCTGCTCCTGACAAGGGACACGACAGGCTCGCAGCGCGGAGCCCTCTCGTTTCCTTTTTGGTTTCCAAATTCGATTTTTTTCTCAACACCCGGCTCGCGGCGGCCTCGGGCCGGCTTTGCCCGTGCTGCCGGCCGCCGCGGCCGCCACCCATGACCAAGGAGAAGCTCCGCGCCAACCTGCGTGGCCTCAAGGCCAGGGTCATCGACACGTCGGCGCTCATCGCGCGCCACGTCGAGCTCAAGGCGCAGCTTGAGGCGGCAGTCGCCGAGCGGCGCCGCATGGGCGAGGAGAAGGCGGCGGCGGAGAGCACGGCGGCGCTGCGCTCGGCGGCGGAGGCCGCGGTCAAGCAGCAGCTCGAGGCGGCGCGCGGCGAGGTCCAGCAGCACAAGACGGAGAGCGCGCGGCTGCGCACGCGCCTCTCCGACCTCGAGGCGGTGCTGCTGAGCGAGCGCTCGGCGGCGTCGAGCGCGTCGCAGGCGGCGGTGAAGGTCTCGCTGGCGGAGCAGGGCGCCACGACGCGCGAGGCCGCC